TGATCTTGGGAGCCGCTTGGGCCGTTTTGGAGCGACGGAAAGCCAAAACGGCGAGAACGCCCAAATTCTTCAAAAACACAACGCAAGGAAAGTCAATGGTGTTTGCATTTGGGGGCCCTGTTGGGAGACCGCTTGGAGGCCTCTTGGGGTTCCTTGGAAGCCGCTTGCACCGTCTTGGTGCCATTTTGGGCGTCTTCGAGCGATCGCTCGGTGAGTCGGGGCCCTCTTGGACCTTGGAGAGCCCCACGCAGGCGCCATGGCCGCCCAGGGACCCCCGGGAGCATGGCTGGTGCACGCGACGATGTGCGGCGCGGATGGGGGGTGTCCTTTAGAGGATTACCCCGAAAACCTACCAAACAGCACTTGGCATTCTAGTACGCCTCAACGTGCCAGGGGGCACGATGGACGTGAACGGGGCCGCTATGCCCGCAGACGATCTTTTATGTGGACGAATGGGGCGGCGACGGACAGGAATGGGCCGCCGGGCCCGCAGACGAGCTCACTTCCTGAGTGGGGATGCGAGAACGCGTAAGTGCAAGCATTGTCCTGGGAACGAAACTTGAACTGAGTGTCGTTGACGCCAGAAGCCAGCAGCACCTTGCATGCGCAACAGGCAGGAGTCAAGTAGCACGCGGGAGACACATTAGCAAATGCGCATGCCACAAATAATCGGTACATGTAGCACGCCGTAGGCGCGCGCCGCATGACGTAGAACATTGCATGGATCACGAAATTAAGGTTGCACGACCCTCACACATTACAAATGAATTCGCCGAGCGAGCATGACAGCGATTGTTCTTTTCTGGAGGAAGAAGTTGCACAACAAGACCGCACATGCCAGATCCACGATCCAAGGACAATGATGGAGTGCCTTGGCAGAAACACACACACACACAGGCAACGCAGCGACGACCCCAAACAGGAGGCTACCACGTCGCCGTAGCCACAGAACTGCGAAGGCGCGGCGCCAGGTGGGGCGAAGCACGGCGGACCAACCAACGACGCGACGTGGTTGCAACCACACCCGGTGCAGCGGCGCCTCGGAAGATATGGACGCGGTGGGTCGGCCTGGCGTGCCTCCCCAGACAGCTGGCGGACCGCCTCCTCGAGACAGGGAGGCCCGGAAGAATTCCACGCGTCTACCGCAAGTCCTCCTCCTCCCCCTTTCCTCCTCCCATTGCTGCTGGGACCACTGCTGGGCCAGTCCTGAAACATCTGCATCTCGTGCTCGCCTTCGAGATTCCCTCGATTGATTGATTGGACCCCTGTAAGAATTTGGTTGGGTATGCTCCTCATGAGCTGGTTCCACATTTCCCCACCACCTCTTCGAAACACGGACACTTGGGCCTGCGGGACCCTCTCCGGGGGCGGGCTTCTCGTTGCGTTTTTTTTTCCTGACGGCTCTGGGTCCCCGAAAGTGGTGTCCAGAGGCCGAGGGCGGTGCCCAAGGAACAAGGCAGTTCGAAGTGGACGGAGGCTTCCAGAAGGCTCTGGAGGTCCGTGAGTGCTCCAGAACCTTCCACCTTCCTGAAGCTCAGCGAGGGCAAGCAACGCTCAAAGGGTTTGTCGGTCCTAGGTCCTAGTTGAATGACCTCGAGCCGCGAGCCTCGACCCCCCTGCAGGCGCGTCGTCGCAGACAGGCGGCTGGGGCGAGGAGCTCGAGCGCCGCCGCCTGGAGCGGCTCCAGGGCCGCCAAGGCCGCTGGCTTGCCGGCTCGCCAGCGCCGCCGCCGCCGCCGCCGCCGTCGTCGTCGTCGTCGTCGTCGTCGTCGTCGTCGTCGTCGTCGTCGTCGTCGTCGCCGTCGTCGTGGTCGTCGTCTGTCGTCGTCGACGCCGTCGTCGGCGTCGGCGTCGGTGGCGGCGTCGGCGGCGGCGTCGTCGTCATCGTCCGTTGTCGTCGTCGTCGTCGTCGTCGTCGTCGTCGTCGTCGTCCGTCGTCGTCCGTCGTCGTCGTCGTCGTCGTCGTCGTCGTCGTCGTCGTCGTCGTCGTCTGCGTCGTCGTCGTCTTCGTCGTTGTCGACGTCACCGTCGTCGTCATCGTCGTCGCCGTCGTCGTCGTCGCTGTCGTCGTCGTCATTGTCGCTGTCGTCGTCGTCGTTGTCGTCGTCGCCGTTGTCGTCGTCGTCGTCCGTTGTCCGTCGCATGTCGTCGTCGTGGCCGCCTCTGCCGCCGTGGTCGGCGTCGCTGTCGTAGCCGCCGCCGTCGTCTTCGTTTCGGTCGTCCGCCGTCGTCCTTCTTGCCGTTGTCGGCCGTCGTCGATTTGTCTTGTGCCAGGCCGCCATGCGGCGCTCGAGTTTGCCATGCCAAGGTCGTGGGATATTGGTTCCATGGCACCTTTGGGGATCAAGCAGGTTTTTGTTCGGAAGCCAAGTTGCTCCGTCAGGAGCTGGCTGTAATCCACTAGGAGGTGAGCAATTTGAAAGTAAAGGCCCCAAGAAGTCCCTCAGACCTGTGCGGTTGAAGTCAGACAAGTTCTTTGAACGGATCCACGTATCTCGTCGACTGCATTCCGAGGCCGCAGAGGTTGTATCAATTGAGTGCGTTCTTGGTTGCTCTAGAGAAAGCTCTGGCGGAACTGGCCAGCGCAATCAGCCTTTTCTGGCCATGTGGTGCAGCGCTGCGGGGGGCATTGTGCTCCTCACGCTGCGGGAATGGAGGTGAAGTCATCTTGGATTCCTGGGCCATCGGTCGCAACATGGATAATGCTAGTATCACCTGCATGGCAGCCCCTGTCGCTTGAGGCCCCGATGGAATTCTTAGCACCACATTGCAAAACTATGACTTTGCTGGGTAGCTCGGGTACCGATTGGGCTCCATGGTTGCTTCCGTTGCAGCAATCGAAGAGAGCGATGTTGTGGGACTTGCGGAAATCGTACAGGCATATGCAAAGAGCAGGAGGGGGTTTAATCCCTGTACACGCCAGTCGTTGCAAGTAGGTCGTTTGGGATTTCCAGGTTCCAGTCTTTTTTAGGCGCCGTCATACGTCATTCGTCGAGTGTTTGTTTCCTTCTCCTTCCACTTCAGGGGGCGGGCGGAAGCCCAATCTACTTCCAGCGCCTTCCTACTTCATGTCTCTATCCACTCCCGACCGACGTGTAATCCTTTTTTCCGACTTGTCGCACGGAGGCAAGGGGCTATCGTTCGGCATCCCTCCGACAAGGATGACAAACGAATGCGTCACGTTGAACTCGTCTGAATTAGGCTTCGGGGCACGTTCGTCTTGGGATCGGCGGGCGTGACACTTACTCGGCGGGGTCGCTATTGCTGTTGTCCGTCGTCGTCGTCGGCGTCGTCGTTACTGTCGTCGCCGCCGCCGTCATCGTCTTCGTTGCTGTCGTCCGTCGTCGTCGTGGTCGTCGACGCTGCTGTGGTCGTCGTTGCCGTCGTCGTGTTGTCGTCGTTGCCGCCGCCGCCGGCACGCCGCCACCAGCGCGCACAGCCGCCCGCCTCCGCGGTCGCTGCTCACGCCGCCGCGGGCCATGCACCGCCGAGGTGTCTGCGCGTCTGGGCGTTCAGGCCCAGGCCTCCGGAGGCCTCCGGACACTTCCGAGGGCCCCGCCGCCACGTTCAGAGACGTCCGGGCAGCCCTGGAGTTTCAGCAGTGGCGCAGGGTGGAGGTGGGCAGAGGGAAAGGGGGGAGAGGGCGGAGGGGGCCTCGGGGCGAAAGGGAACGGGCGGCAGGCGGGAGAGCGGAGGCGACGGGAGGAGGGGGGGGGTTGGGCGCAGAGGAGCACGTCGGGAGGGGCAGCGGGGTCGGCTGGAGGAGTGGGGGACGGGACGGGGAAATGAAGGGGGAGGGGCACAGGGGGAGGCGGGCAGGGATGGAAAGGTATCGAAGACGCCTACGGCGAATCACCGCCGCCCCCTGCCTTTTTGGAAACGCCGATGTGGCCGAAAGTTGGACTAGAGCTTGGCCAAGCTATCGGACCATGAGTTCCCCGAGTCGGTTTGGAAAGCTTTCGGGGAACACATGGGAGAGAATGATTATGAACAGGAAGAGGAAGAGGAAGAAATAGAGTAGGAGGATGAGGGTTGTTAGGAGTCTCTTGGGGCACCCTTGGGGTCTGTTGGGGGCTTCTTGGGGGCCTCTTCGAGGCCTCTTGGAGGCATCTTGGGGGCCTCCTTGGGCCTCTTGGGGGCCTTTGGGGGCTTCCTGGGGGTCTCTTTGGCCGTCTTAGGGCGTTCCTGGTCCGTCTGACGCCGTCTGGAGCCGTCTTGGGGGCCTCTCTGGGCCGTCTTGGGGCCCTCTTGGGGCGCTTCAGGGCCGTCTTGGAGGCCATGTTGGGCGTCTTGGAGGCCTCTTCATAGGGGGGGGGCCCTTGGGCCGTCATAGGGCCTTCTTGGGCCTCTTGGGCGATCTTGGGGGCCTCTTGGGCCGTCGGAAGGCCGAAAAGAAGAAAACGCAAAAAACCTTCAAAAACCTAAGGAAAACCAATGATTTTGGCCTCTTCGGGCTCTCCTGGAGAACGTCTTGGAGGCCTCTTGGGCCATCTTGGAGGCATCTTGGGGCCATCTTGGCCGTCTTGGAGGGCATCTTGGGCCGTCTTGGAGGCATCTTGGAGCCATCTTACCCGTCTTGGAGGCCATCTTGGCCGTCTGGGAGGCATCTTGGAGGCCATCTTGGGCCATCTTGGCCGTCTTGGAGGCCATCTTGGGCCAAGTTGGGGCAACAAAGGCATTGACAGACGGATTTTGGGAAAATTACGGGTGGCCGGCGGGACTTTTAGAAAAAGAACCAAAATCAAAACCTGAAACATCCAGCACGCCGTGCACCCCTGCAAGCAGGGGGCGGCGGATCAAGTGGCCTTCGGCCAATCCCGCCACCGTGCCTGGGTCGTGGACAAGGGGCCTCTCAGAGGCTTCTTGGGGTCTCTTGGGCAGCCTTTCGGGGGGACCCTGGAGACACCGCTATGGGCCTCAAGGGGCAGGGATGGAAAGATCTACTGAGGGGGGCGGGCAGGGCAAGGAGGCCGGGTTCGGGCGGGCGCTCCCTCTCGAGAG